TGCTCTACCACTTGAGCTACAGTGCCACTTCCGGTTTTCTGGTGGTTTATTGGAGATAGGAGTCTCACAGTCTCTCCTGCCCGGGCTGGCTTTGAACCGAGATCCTCAGATCTCAGCCTCCTGAGTAGCTAGGATTACAGGTGTGAGCCACCAGCGCCCGGCTTGAATTAAAGTCTTAACTTACCTGTCCATACTAACTTTACTGGATTTAGAACCTCCGTTATTTTGAAATTCCCAACAAATTTAATAGGCATAAATCTCTTGGTTCACTAAGCAGGTTCCAGTGTATTTTTTGTTTATTTGTGAAGAACTAGTTTCAAAGTTATATGTGCATTTCAAAATATTCTGATAAAAACAGTTCTTAAGTATTTATAGATTTGTCAAGGCCTCCTTAAATAATTTTCTTTTCAAAAGGGCTTCATTATGCAACTCAGGCTGGCCTTGAACTTGAGATCCTTCTGCCTTAGCTGAGAGTCTGAGATTATAGTTATACACTGCCACATCTGGCTTTATTTTTTATTTTTTTAATCAGTCATCGGTCTTGAACTCTGGGCCTGGCCGCTGTCCCTCAGCTCTTCAGCTCAAGGCTAGCACTCTACCACTTGAGCCACAGTGCCACTTCTGGTGGTTTATTGGAGATAAGAGTCTCACAGCTTTTCCTGCCCAGGATGGCTTTGAACTGGGACCCTCAGATCTCAGCCTCCTGAGTAGGTAGGGGATTACAGGCATGAGCCACTGGCGCCCAGCTGGCTTCTTATTAAGTTACTCTTTTACTTAAAAGATAGGGTTCTGGTGGCTCATGCCACTAGATCCTTTCAGGATGCTGAGAGCTGAGGATCAAGGTTAGAAGCCAGCCTAGCCAGACAAATCTGGTAGACTTTTAACTCTAGTAAACCAGCAAAAAAGCTGGGGCTGGTGGCATGGCTCAAGTGGTAGAATGCCATCTGTGAGCAAAATAAATGCTTGAGAACTCTAGGCCCTGAGTTCAAGTTCTGGAACTGGCAGGGAAAAAAGAAAACAGGGAGAAATAAAAGCTATCTATAGACTCAGGTGTATAATACTTTGTCTAGCTTCAGGGAAAGTATTCTGAGGTTTAGGCAATGTGGCTTCTTCATGGGGCTGGAACTTTTTAAAGGGCCTTTGGGCTGCTAGGGTCAGGATGCAGAGGAGGGAAAGGTTCAAGTTCTTCCTACCAGAGCAACCAACATTTTGTGTTTCATTTTATGACAGAATCTAGCTATATATCCCAGCTAGCCTCAAACACACAATCCTCCTGTCTCTGCATTTCAAGTGCTGGAATCACAGGCATGCACCACTATGTCCAGCCAGAACATTCTACTTTTTATTTAATGTATTAGACTCCAATACACTTGGGTAAAATTTCATACAAAAATAGGATTGTTTTGCTTCAAAGAAAAAAAGAAGAAAAAAAATCACAGGACTGAAGACTATAATGTCTAGAAAGACTCCCATATTGTATATATTTAAATCACAGCTTCTTTGGTAACATTAAGTTTTTCATATTTTTGGCAATCTTAAGTTTCTGGGAAGATTTTTTTAAAAAGAGCAAATTTCTTCAAAGAGTAGAAATATAAATAGCAAATGTCTCAAAACTCTGCATAGTCAGGACTCAAGCTGTACTGAAGAGAAAACAAAGGGAAGAAATGGAAATAAAACAGATGGCTCATCTTTTTCAAATGTCACATTTAATGTTTTCACCACTGTACTTCAAATCTACATTGTACAAAGTGACCAGAAAGTGTGCCACGGTAATTGACCAACCTCTGAGATTGTACCTTTCACACCAGTGTCTTCTTGGGCTCTTTTGATACTAAACACGTTTCTCATTCAAGTGAACTGAAATGCTTCAGTGGGGTTGATTCTCAGGAGCCTCATAAAAAAAAAAAACAAAGATATTGCACCATCTTTGTTTAGTAATTCAATGTTTGTTTCTTTCACAGCAAATAATTACTTCATTGAAGTTAAAACTTCCAAACATAACTTATTAATAATCTTCAAATTCAGCTCAGATCACTCAAGATGAAAATACTCTGCTAAATACAGATAACTTACAATAACTTCAACAGTTAAATGTCCATAACACACACCAAGGTTTTTTTTTTTTTCCTAGACCAATTATAAGACGATCCGTTAGTACTCCTTGTACAGGTGAAAAATGATCTTCAATTTTCTTGTCTTTTTATTTTTAATATAAAAGTTGGAAGGGACATTCAAGTTTCAAGTCTCCACACTGAACTTAAAAAAAAAAATAGTCATCATCAGCATGTGGAGGTAAACAAGCCAAGTTGTCTAACTCCAGGAGGTAGAGGCCTTCAGTTTGTATTCATATATACATATACACAGAAGAATTCAGTGTTCCAACAGAAAAAAAAAGAAATTTGTCAAAAAGTAATAAGTTATTTACTACTGTGACATTTCAAGACTCCCACAGCTTTGCCTAAGGACACAAACACATTTGACATAATTCCCTATGTGCCTTTGTGTGTGTGTGTGTGTGGCTTTAACTTTTAAAAAATTTGTTTCTGTCTTTTATTAGTTATTTATTATTTTTCACTGTCCAGTGCAGGAAAAGTCTCACAAAATTTCACAGACCTAAAATGTGCAAGCTAGTTCTTTCTCTATACAGCAATGTTGGGATTCTTTTGAAATTAGCCCAGAAATGAATTATTTACACACATGAAAGATGCATGCTTGGGGTTCTTTTATGTAAGAAAGAGCAGAAAAACTTCTAATAAAAATAGATTAAATATATATATATATATATATTTATACTGAATAAGGAAAAACAAAAGTTTTAGTCTCTCCTAGTCACAGACTCATCCTCTCTACCCACAACATTGGATTTTAGACAGCACACATCACCATCACGGCGCTAATGAGAAGCTAATTATAGGGCTTGATCATTAGGTGGCATGCCCCGCCTCCCTCCCCCATCCCCCAGGTGCAGCCACGCTTAGCTCACGTGGCTCCATGATTGGTCGCAGGCAACGTTTCTAGATTCTTTAGTTTTAGAAAACACCAAATCTTTAGGAATGGCTCAAATATCAAAATGTAGGACTGTCCTCTGTGTGTGTGTGTGTGTGTGTGTGTGTGTATGTGTGTGTGTACAATCTCACTTCAATAAAAATAAAAAAAAGAAAACAAAAACCCCAACTCTCAGATTTGGTTCAATTCTCTTTTGTTCTGAGGTGAGCCATAACAGCTGCACTAATTTCATAAAACATGTGCAACTCTGGGTAAAATATTTTTTTCTTCTAAAAGCACAACCACTTTACAAGATTAAAAGTCTAGTAACATTTCTAAATATTATTCATATCATACAAGTAGTGGTTGTTAATTTAAAACTTCATTAGTAAAATTACAGTACAAGCATGATTAACCTCCAGAATTGCAAATCCCAGACTCCAGTGGAAAGCTACATGACATCTTCAGTAGTACATTATCCTCCACTGTCACTCCCATACCAGAGGAGATGGGGGCATCTCAGACGGCTGAGCAACAGTGGAACTGGAAGAAAATGGAGAAGGGGAATTAGTTATAGCACCACACTGGCCAAAACTGCCCGTTCCCTTCTCCCTTTACTCCATTTCTAGATTTTTTATTTAACTTTTTGAAAGTTGATTTTGTTCCAATCTGTTTCCTACAGTGAGGCTTAAGAACAACATGGTACTTACCAGTTCCTGTGAAAATTCCTTTTCTTTTCTTTTTTTGGTCCAAGACTGGGACTCAAACTCGGTAACTGATACTTTTGCTCACTGGCTAGCACACTACCAACTGAGCTATCCTTAACCCCTAAAGGGCTGGTTATTTATTTTCTTTCTTTTCATTAAACTCCTTAATTGTTCTCTCTTTTGAAAAGACCTTATGGGGGCTGGGAAGGTGGCTCAGTGGCAGAGCGCTTGCCTTGCATGCCTGAGCCCCTGGGTTCGATTCCTCAGCATCACATAAGCAAAAAAAGAAAAAAGCCGGAAGTGGTGCTGTGGCTCAAGTGGTAGAGCGCTAGCCTTGAGCTGATGAGCTGAAGGACAGCGCCCAGGCCCAGAGTTCAGGCCCCACGACCGGACCCAAAAAAAAAAAAAATTGAAAAGACCCTATGATGGATGGTTAAGATAATGTACAGTCAACTGTCTTCCATAGGACCTACTTCATAATGCAAATGGTAGTGGTTCTAACTTATAATAGTTATGCTCAACCAGGAAAATAAGTTTAAAGGATGTAGAATTAAAAAGTAGTCCTTCAACACAGTGACCTTAAGTGTGGGGACCTATTTTGAAGGAACCTCATAATGCATTCTCCTTTCAAGTCTTAGTGGGATGGTATGATGATTGTTCAGCTGGTTATCCATACACAGAGCTGGCACAGCTACTTCCCAGGCTAAGGTTGCTAATTAGAAGAGGTTTCTAATCACTTTCCCTCACCAGGGCCCAGGAGAACAGGTGCTGAAATACCTCACTCATCAGGTCACTGACTCTTAGGGGAAAGTATTAAATAAAGTAATTTTAAACCACAGAAGTCAAACTGCAAATGAATGCCTACTTTCTATAGGGAAAAAAAAGGGAAGAAACAAAAAATACTAATTTATTTATTTATTTATTTTTGTCTGTCATGGGGCTTGAACTTTGGGCCTGAGCACTGTCCCTCAGCTCTTAAGCTCAAGGCAAGCGCTCTACCGCTTGAGCTACAGCGCCACTTCCAGTTTTCTGGTGGTTTATTAGAGATAAGAGTCTCACAGTCTTTCCTGCCCCGGCTGGCTTTGAACCATGATCCTCAGATCTCAGCCTCCTGAGTAGCTAGGATTACAGGCGTGATCCACCGGTGCCCAGCAAAAAATGCTAATTTTAAACAAAAAATTTTGAATTTGGGTCAATAAATTCAAACGATTTCAATATCATGCAGGGAAAGAAAAGAGAAACAAGAAGAAGGGAAAAGGAGAAAGGTAGTTGGGGAGGAAAAGCGATTGTGGCCTCACCAGTTCAAACAAGTAGCAGGTCTCCTTTGCTACTTAGGCTAATGTTTGTCTTTGCCAACAGAGGGCACTGGAACAGTGCTGCAAGACAGTAGCAGCAGGCAGCAGCTTCCCTTCCTGCTTCTTCATGTTTTAAAATAATACTGGGGTTTCAGCCTAAAGCTGCATAATTGCTTAGAAGATACTCTACAAGGGCTGGGAAGTTGGCTCAGTGGTAGAGCGCTTGCCTTGCATGCCTGAGGCCCTGGGTTCGATTCCTCAGCACCACATAAGCAAAAAGAAAAAAAGCCGGAAGTGGTGCTGTGGCTCAAGTGGTAGAGCGCTAGCCTTGAGCTGAAGAGCTGAGGGACAGCGCCCAGGCCCAGAGTTCAGGCCCCACAACTGGATCCCTCCCCCCCAAAAAAACCTTAGCCTGCCTTTGACTAAAGCCAAAGTTCCTAAGATCAACATTTGGTTGGACCTGTATCTCTCTCAATAAAAACATATAGAAACTAAATAATAAAACCCAGGGGTATCCTTCTAAGTCTAAGAAGAATCCCAGAATCATGTATAGTTACCTAATAAAGCTCTTAAAAGCAGCAGACTGAGGGTTGATGCAGAGAGGCACTCTGTTTCCTTTCTGCTGTTCCAAAATGAATTGGTGAATAATCTCTGTGGAGAGAGCAAGCAGCATAAACCCATAGCCAAGGCGCAGGCCTTGTAGTAGTGCATTCACAGGTAACTAGCCAGCATCTGTAATTTCTGCTCGTTTAGATTAAAGCAGACATATATATCTTTTACCAAGCAGAATTCAACTAAACTTTCCTGAAATTAAGATGACAGTTGTGGCTAAACACAGGTAAAATAAAAAGAATAAGAGAGACAAAAAAAAAAAAAGCCCTTACAGTGCCATTACACAAGCTGGAAACGCTGTCAGTAGGAATCTGAGACAGCCCACACAGGTGGAGTTACAGGTGAACTCTAACTGCTGTAAGTTTTTGAAGCTCACCTTAAAGACTCTGCTGGTGTTTAGGCTCTGTGGCCTACTCTCTTACAGCAAACAGGAAATCATTCAGAATTTTGGATGCCATTGCCCTCACCACAACAGAAGAGCACCCCACCTAATTTTATGAATATATCATCAGAAATTCCTTTCCTTGGTCAACATTGAAGGAGTGATTCCGTTAGTGAATTATTATTGCTTTTAAAACTTTGTGTGTTATATAAAGTTCAATAGGTTTCTTTCAATGAAATGACATGGAGGGAATACAAATTAGTTGTATTTTGAGTCATACTTATCAAAACTTGTAAAATAAAAACAAAACATTCATTCCTCTGCCCAATCTTCCCGGAGTAAAGTATTAAATCAGTATTTTGGTAACACACGTAGCTTGCTTGACACATAGACCTGAGACAAACAGCCACGGGTTCTAAAGTAAACACATGGAGGAATGTTATCATATAGTAAAAAATGTTACTAGTCATCTTGCCTGGCCGAATGCCAAAAAAACCCCCCACAGAAAACAAAAAGACTTACCTTTAACCTGTCTGACAGAACTGAGGTTCTTCTCAAAAGTGTCATCAAATTTGGGATTTGTGACGGGCTCAAAGTCACTGGTATAAACTCTTCCAGTAGAGGTGGAAAAGCAACATTTACACATGCATGTGTGGTATCTTAGTCGCCCTTCATCTAGGTAGGGGTGGGCTAAGGCATCCTTAGCGGATATTCTTTTTGACTGAAATTAAATTTAGAGACCAGTACATCAACACTGCAGATAAGCACGACTGTCCACACAGAATCTTTCACAAGCAGTTACTACTTTACACAGCTGACACTTAATATGTACAACATTCTGTTCAAAGGGGGGCAAGTACAGCGGTGATGGCATAATAATACAGAGCACATAGGACCTAGGCAAACAACGACTGTTTTATCTACCACCATAAATCCCTGAGAAGTGCCCTTCTGCTAAAATTCTGAAAAGTTCCTACACTGAAATATATGCATGCAGGATCATAAATGACAAATATCACGACATTTAGCTGTGTACTGCTTTGTAGGGGATAAGTTTACATTTTAAATAACAAGCTATATATTTTTTCTAAATATGTGTCAGCATTTAGAGATGTGATCATCATGCTGACAATTTTGCAAAGCTGCTTGAAATTTATTCTTTTTGAATACTGAAATAGACTAAAGTAAAAAAGCACATTGAAAACCTGCTAGAGTCTGGCTCACATCTGTAATCTTAGCTTCTCAAGAGGTTGAGATCTGAGGATCATGGTTCAAAGCCAGCCCAGGTAGGAAAGTCCATGAGATCCCTCAATCAATCACCAGAAAGTCAGAGGTAGAGCTATGACTTAAGTTTCAGGGTGCTAAACTTGCACCCAAAAGTTTAAGGACAGCACCCAGGTCTTGAGTTCAAGCCCAAGGGCCAGTGTGCCAGTGTGTGGGCAGGCATGCACAGGCACATATACACATGCTGCTGGAAACAGCAGATACTGGTCTCAATGTCCTGTTGTGAGAAGCAACTCTGGCTGAGTATCAGGCGTGCTGATTTTGTGGTTTTCTGAGACTTTAGAGAAGGATATTTAAAACATTCACTTTAGTCTTACTAATTCATAAATTCCATCCCTCTAGCCTTTTTTGTTCTGGTTCGTTCTTTCTTTTTGGCCAATCCTGGGGCTAGAACTCAGGGCCTGGGCACTGTCCCTGAGCTTCTTTTGTTCAAGGCAACTTGTGGCTTTTTCCATCTAGGTGGTACTGAGCAATTGAACCCTGGGCTTCATGAACGCTAGGCAAGTACTCCACCACTAAGCCACATCCCAGTCCTGTTCTGGTTATTTCTGAGACAGGGTATTGCTTTCTGCCCACACCAGACTGCACCGTGCTTCTCCTGTTTATGCTTACTGCCATAGCTGGGGTGACACGTGTACACAACTATATCAACAGCTCTTTCTTTCCCTTTCCTTTCTTCCCTCCCTCCCCCTCCTTTTTTTTGGTCAGTCGTGGGGCTTGAACTCTGGGCTTCGGTGCTGTCCCTCAGCTGTTTGGTTCAAGGCTAGCACTCTATCACTTGAGCCACAGTGCCATTTCCAGTTTTCTAGTGGTTAACTGGAGATAAAAGTCTCACAGAGTTTCCTGCCCTGGCTGGCTTTGAACCGTGATCCTGAGATCTTAGCTTCCTAGGATTATAGGCGTGAACCACCAACACCCTGTGGCTTAAAGTGGAAGAGTGTTAACCTTGAGCAAAAGAGCTCAGGGTCAATACCCAGGTCCTGAGTTCAAGCCCATGACTGATAAAATAATAATTAAAAATATTACTTTTAATTGTTTATTCCTTTTTGATAAAGTTTTTAGATTTATTTGATGCTTTCTCCACTTTGCAGCAGTAAATTATTTAATTATACACTTCATTTAGGCAGGAAAGTCAGTGAGACTCTTATCTCCAATAAACCATTAGAAACACCAGAATTGGCTCTGTGGCTCAAGCGGTAGCATGCTCGCTTTGAGCTGAAGAGCACAGAACAGGGCCCAAGCTCAGAGTTAAAGCCCCACAACCAACCAAAAAAAAGAAAAGAAAAGAAAGAGAAAAGAAGAGCATTTTAATCTTATCATCTGCTGGTGATTTATGATTTTTCCTTGTATTTTCATATCCCTGCTACAAGTTAAAGATTAAGAATTTATACTTGTATAGAAGCTTTAGAGGGAGATACCCCAAACTGTATCTAGTACCACTGACTATTGCCATTGGAAAAAAACACAGAAGTATACAGGGAACAGCATATAGAAATATGCTTCTCAGCCGAGCGCTGGTGGCTCATGTTTGTAATCCTAGCTACTCAGGAGGCTGATATCTGAGGATCACAGTTTTCAAAGCCAGCTCTGGCAGGAAAGTCCTTGAGACTCTTATCTCTAATTAACCACTTAATTATTTAATTAAATTAATTAATTATTCTGAATACAGAAAATGGAAAGTGGCACTGTGGCTCAAAGTGGTAGTACACTAGCCTTGAGCTGAAGCACTCAGGGACAGTGTGTAGGCTCTGACTTCAAACGCCACAAGCAACAAAAATAAATAAATGAGTAAATACACTTTTAGTCTAGTCTATATGCCATGAATATAGACTGTGATCTACTGCTTATCCTAAGGCCCACAAAATGAGAATTAGTTACCTCAGACTAAATGAAGTAAACATTTTATTTTTTAATGATTTGTGTGTGTGTGTGTGTGTGTGTGTGTGTGTGTGCGCGCGCGCGCGCGCATGCATACACATATAAGTGCATGAATGCCAGGGAGGACTGGAACTCAGGGCCTTGAGCAACTGCTTGCCTTTTATGCTCAATGCTAACACACCATCATTTGAGCTGCACCTCTACTTCTCAGTTTTTGCTGGTTAACTGGAGGTAAGAGTCTTTCAGGAGCTAGGAAGGTGGCTCTGTGGTAGAGTGCTTGTCTTGCATGCATGAGGGCCTGGGTTTGATTCCTCAGCACCACATAAGCAGAAAAAGCTGGAAGTGGCGCTGTGGCTCAAGTGGTAGAGTGCTAGCCTTGAGCTGAAGAGCTGAGGGACAGCGCCCAGGCCCAGAGTTCAGGCCCATGACCACACCCCCCACCCCCCAAAAAAGTGTTTCAGATTTGTCTGTATGGGCTTGCTTCAAACATTGATCCTGAGACCTCCTGAGCAGCTAGGATTACACGTATGAGCCATTGGTGCTTGGCTTTTATGCGTATAATATATATGTATATTATGGGGTTTATACTCCAGGCCTAGGCACTGTCCCTGAACTCTTTTGCTCAAAGCCAATGCTCTACCACTTTGAGCCACAGTGCCACTTCTGGTTTTTGAGTGATTAATTGGAGATAAGAGTGTCACGGGACTTTTCTGCCTGGGCTAGCTTTGAACTATGATCCTCAGATCTCAGCGTCTTTAGTAGCTAGCATTATAGGCATGAATCACCAGCACCCAGCTTGGATTCTTTTTTTTTTTTTTTTGGTCGATCCTGGGTCTTGAACTCTGGGTTCAATCAATTGAGCCAGAGTGCCACTTCCGGTTTTGAGTGGTTTTACTGGAGACATTCCTGCCTGGGCTGGCTTTGAACTGCGATCCTCAGATCTCAGCCTCTTGGGTAGCTAGAATTACAGGTGTGAGCCACCGGCACCCGGCTTGGATATATTATTATTATTATTATTTTGGTCATGGAGCTTGAACTCTGGGCCTGGGTGCCGTCCCTTAGCTCTTCAGCTCTAGGCAAGCACTCTACCACTGGAGCCACAGTGCCACTTCCAAGGATAAATATTTTTAAAAGCCTCGTTTCCTTTTTCCTTCCCTTCCTTCTCTCTCTTTCTCTCGCTCTCCTTTTTTTTTTCCAAAAGTTTTGTACTGGGGATTAAACTGAGGGACCATGTAATTGCTAGGCCTGGACTTTACCATCTGAGCCACATCCCTGGTTCTTGGGCTTTTAGCTTGATTTTTCATACCTGAATACTAACTCTTACAGAGGCTGGCCTCAAACAACAATCCTCTTATCTCTGCCTTCCAAGTACATAGGATTATAGGTGTGTATGTATTAATCTATTGCTAATTCTCAATGTACCATGTTAAAACAAGAATAAAAAACTCTTTTCTTGTTGTAAATGAACTCTTAGGACTAAAAATAATTTTTAATATAGATTATAAACTAACAGAACATCAGGCCAGCTGAAGAATAATAGTAACGGGTACCAACAAAGTTAGAAAGTATTGGTTAGCCAGGTGCTGGTGGCTCACGCCTGTAATCCTAGCTACTCAGGAGGCTGAGATCTGAGAATCATGGTTCAAAGCCAGCCCAGGCAGAAAAGTTTATGAGACTCTTATCTCCAATTAACCATCACAAAACTGGAAGTGGCATTGTGGCTCAAGTGGTAGAGTGCTTGCCTTTGCCCAGAGTTTAAGCCCCACGACTGACTCCCTCCTCCTCCAAAAATTGGTTAGGCACCTGTTTTTCCAGCTATAAATAGGAAGTATAAGTAGGAATATCATGGTCCAGTATAGCCCAGTCAAATTTATGGCTTAAGTGGTAGAGTACTTGCCTGCCGATCATAAGGCCTTGTATTCAAACCCCACCCTCCCTCAAAAATGACTGGTTTTACTCTAGAAAACAATGATGAAAATAGTTAATTACTAAGTAGTTTGCCTTAACTAAATTCATATGCACATATACTTTTGTTTTTGTGAATATATATTTTTAATGAAAATGTATTAATGTAGACTCATTAATATGTCTTTTATGTAGATCAGTGTTAGTAAGGCTCTAGGTTCAATTACTAGCACAAAGAAAAACAAAGATTTTGTTTTCTTCCTTATCAAATAAATCTTTGTAACTAGAACCATCGCCAGCTTCATTTAACTATATGAATAATCCCATTATTAAGGAATAACAACTATATTTCATTTGAAAAGACCTCTCAGGAAAATGTTTTTGATTCTTGCTACTAAGGTTTCCTGAGTGGTAAGCATTTCAGAGGAAGTGGATACCTTATAGCTATAAGTAAAGCAAGCAAACCTGACATGGAAATTACATGATTTTTGGTTCTTAAACTAACTAGAACTCAAAAAGAGAATAAATGTTTCTAATATATAAATTAGCATTTAACTTACAAAATCCTCCATGCAAAGACAGAAATTACCTTTGAAGTACGAATTTCACATGGCACTGGTTTTGTTAACCATATAAAAGGAAATCCTTTAGGTATTAATTGCCATTTATGTTGACAAAGTTGCAGAAAAAGATTCACACTAATGATATTATATCACTAAGTCATCACTCAAGTGTAAATTATCTTTGATGGTGGGAACCTGACCTTAAGGAGATGGTACAAGTAACAATTACCACTTCAAATGCTTGCATATACTAAAAAAAAAAAGTCAACAATAAAAACAAACTATGTCCATAACAATAACAAAAATAAGGGGCTGGGATGGTGGCTCAGTGGTAGAGTGCTTGCCTTGCATGCCTGAGGCCCTGGGTTCAATTCCTCAGCACCACATAAGCAAAAAGAAAAAAAGCCAGTAGTGGCGCTGTGGCTCAAGTGGTAGAGCGCTAGCCTTGAGATGAAGAGCTGAGGGACAGTGCCCAGGCCCAGAGTTCAGGCCCCACAACTGGACCCCAAAAAAAAACAAAACTACACTTTGGACTATGAGATGCCACGAAAATAACTTGGCTCATACTGATTAGTCTGGTCTTCTATATAATAAAGGTATTTTTCACAGACTTCAATCTCAAACTTTTTTTCTTTTTTGGTGTTGGTCTTGAGAACTCAGGGCCTAGGCACTGTCCCTGAGCTTCTTTTGCTCAGGCTGTTGGTCTACCGCCCAAGACACAGCTCCATTTCCAGCTTTTCTGATAGTTAATTGGAGATAAGAGTCTCATAGACTTTCCTGCTGGGGCTGGCTTTGAACTGTGATCCTCAAATCTTAGCCTCCTGGGTAGCTAAGATTACAGGCATGAGCTCCCAGCTCCCAGCCAGAACTTAAAAATAAATTCCTAGCATTCGTTAGTGAATACTCTTATGGATTTGACAGTCAATAGAGAAAGCTACTCTTTTCCTATTATATAAACAGACAAATGTAATTTTATTAATTTTGGTGGAAGAAGCTTGGTGGAATGGTGTGACTATCTCAGTTATGTCAGGAAATGAATAGGAGGATTGTGATCCTAGAATAGGCCCAGGCAGGAAGCAAGACCACATTTCAAAAATAGCCAGTGTAAACGAGGGCTGAATGAGTGACTCAGTGGTAGAGTGTTTGCTTGGCAAGCCATAGGCCCTGAATTCAAACCATAGTAATGCTAAAGAAAAAAAAAAAAAAAACCCAAACCTATGATTTTGACAACCCCTAAAATATTTTCTTTTTTTTTTTTTTTTTGGGTCCGGTTGTGGGGCCTGAACTCTGGGCCTGGGCGCTGTCCCTCAGCTCTTCATCTCAAGGCTAGCGCTCTACCACTTGAGCCACAGTGCCACTACTGGCTTTTTTTCTTTTTGCTTATGTGGGTCTCAGGCATGCAAGGCAAGCGCTCTACCACTGAGCCACCTTCCCAGCCCCCCCCAAATATTTTCTTATATAACTTAAAATGGGCAAATTTTTTCAAATAATCTTTAAATTTTTTTTTCTTCTGATTTAACTTGGTGTCAAGGCTTTTACAGAGATAAATAAGAATGGTACAGTTCCTTCTCTCTTCATTTAGGGCCTTAAACATTAATATTCAAACTTCTGTACTAAGTGAGCCTGATAAACATGAAACTGGGATAGAACAAGTCATTATTTACATTCCTAGTATGTTCAAAACCAGGAAGTTTCTCTAAGGACATGTGTTTTTTTGTTTTGTTTCTTCCTTGTTGGTTGTGGGGCTTGAACTCAGGGCCTGGGAGCTATCCCTGAGCTCTTTTGCTCAGGGCTGGGCACTCTACCACTTTGGGTGCCACTTCTGGAATTCTGGAGGTTAACTGGAGATAAGAGTCTTATGGACTTCCTGCCCTAGATAGCTTCGAACCATGATCCTCAGAGCTCAGCCTCCTGAATAACTAGGATTACAAGTGTGAGCTACCAGTGAATGGCGAACATGTGTATTCTTAAAATTCATTTAGATATATGAAAACAAACACTACTTACTGGATCAAAGACCAACATCCTGCAAAGTAGATGAACAGCTTCATGTGTAGCCTGGCTAGACAGGGTGTAGAGTACAGGAAGAGAAGGCTGTAAAACAACATAAAAAAATTGAATGTTTAAGGAAAACTTTTATATTGCATGATGTTTTATTGTAGGTCACAGCACAAAAGAGCCAATGAAAAACGAAAACTGATCCTATAAAAAAAATGGTGGCTATTGTAAGTCCTTCATTCTTAATGTTTTGGCCAGAGAAGGGAAATCCAAATGTGCTTAGTGGTGTGGGAACAAAGATGGAAGTCTTTGCCACATCTAAGGTAAGCATGTCAAATATATGAAGCAAGCATACCATGTCGATCATGGAACTCTAACTATAAAGGTGCTAAAAAGGAGCTCTAGACACTTAAGAACTTACACAAACTTCTAAGGATGCCATTGCTTTTGCTGGTTCCACCTGAATTGTTTTAGCACAGACTCCTCATTAACTGTCTCAGTGGTGACAGGCATGTGTAGCCTTATCTGACTGAGGGAATAGATGGCTTTGATGACCCAAGGAACCACAGAACTTAGAAACTTTCTATTATAGCTATGAGTGGCAGGGGACAGAGCAAGTGAAAAGTATCATTGACTTGTCTGAGGATGAATCTAGAGACTCACATGTGAGGCAAGGGCTCTAACAGGTTCACTCCTTACACTCACTACAGAAGCAAATTCTTTAATATAGAGAGGAAGAATCAAAGAAAGCGATAAAAAATGTTTGGACACTTTCTTTCTTGTAGTTTAAAATAACCTTTTACAGTACGTTCCCCTATCCCTCAAGGTTTCTCAATTCATGGGCTAATGATTACTGGTATGATTTTCAAACCATTTTGCTTTCTAAAAGAAACCAACTTCTTCCTTTTTTTGAGCCAGTACTGGGGGTTTTTAGAGCCTGGGCACTGTCCCTGAGCTTCTTTTGCTCAGGGCTAGGCTTTCTACCACTTCCAGATTTTTCTGTTTATGTGGTACTAAGGAATTGAACCCAGGGCTTCATGCATGTGAGGCAAGCACTCTACCACTAAGCCACATTCCCAGCCCTGAAACCAACTTCTCAGCAGAGTTAATGCTTTCCGTAACTGTGTTTAGAACTGCTCTCCTACTTCATAATCCTCCAGTGGGTGAAGGTTCTGATAGGGCCAAAGCCTATGAAAAACCAGTCTAGATAATGAAAGCCAAAGCCTAGCTTAAAGAAACAGACCTAACTTTTGGCTTGCAAAGGGAAAAGAATCAGAGCTATATATTATCTATATTTTATTATTAGTTCTAAATACTTCATATAACCTCTGCTTCTGATTCCTGGTAAAACTGAGCTTTAAAGAAATAATCTCAGAGGAGAGCAGCTTTTCATGGTTCTCTGGTGCTTCCCACCTCATCTGGTATCCAGACTGCCTCATTATGATGTAGAGAGACTATGAATATATGTAAACAGTGACTATGAATACATGTAAACACAGTGCTATCACCTCCTTTATCTGACACTGTTCACAATGTTTTTGCATTAGGTTTTATATAGTGTTCCACAACTGGCATTTACATTTGCTACTCCATCAATAGAAAATCTACTAATGGGAGAGAACGACCTTGAGCAGGGGTTGGGGGAAGAAATGGAAGAAAACATTCTGGTTTAGGCTTGAAGAGTCTGAACACTAGGACAACATTATTAATTCTGAGGTACACTGGAAGTGATTCTTACTTGAAAACTCTTTTGTACCTTCTATGAGACCTTTCTTACATTGTCTTAGGCTGTCAGAAGATAAATATTAAAAATATTGCAGACTATGACTGTGATCCGAGCTTGGGAAGGACACAATGAGTAATACAAACTGTGATATCAGCAAGTTTCATGTTAGTCAAGCACTCCACAACAAGCTCTCCAGAGAGCCACAGTCCTGGAAGGTCTCCTTATATGTACATCACAGCCGCAGAATCCTGTTAACAGCACTACTAGTGTCAAGTATTGTATTTGCCTCCTTCTAAGCAAAGCCAAGAGGAAAATTCAATGAGAACAAGAAGACACCTCAGCATTAGCAGAAGGTAATAATTCACATTCCAAAATTTTTCTTCAGAATAAAGATGAAATAGAGATAAGATTAGATAGGAACTCTAGCTGCTGCTCTAATCACTAATTAGATAAATTTGAACCTCAGTACCCATAAGCATAAAGTGTGTCTTCTGGAATAGATAACCTCTGAGGTTTACTTTAGTTCTAAAGTTGGATCTGATTTAAGGGGATTACTATAGATAGAAAGTATTGTAAGTGCTTGGTGCTGTGTATGTTCAGGCTTACATCTGCAATCCTAGCTACTTGAAGACAGAGTGGGAGAATTAAGGTTTGAGGCCAGCTAGAGCAGAAAAGTTTGGAGATTTCATCTTTACCGAGGGAGACTGGATGCAGTGGCATGCACCTGTGATTTCAAGGACAACAGAAAGCCTAAAAGCAGGGGGACTGCAAGGCACTGGTGGCTCATGCTTATAATCCTATAATCTGAGGATCTCAGTTCAAAGCGCATTCAGAAGAGTCCATAAAACTCTTACCTCCAATTAATCACAGAAAAACTGCAAGTGGAGCTGTGGCTCCAGTGGTAGAGAGTATTGCACCCCTCCGCCCCTGAGTTCCAGTCCCATATTGGCCCATTTAAAAAAAAAAAAAAAGGAAAGAAAGAAAGTTGGGCTGGGAAGGTGGCTCAGTGGTAGAGTGCTTGTCTTGCACGCATGAGGCCCTGGGTTCAATTCCTTAGCACCACATAAGCAAAAAAACCTGGAAGTGGAGCTGTGGCTCAAGTGGTAGAGTGCTAGCCTTGAGCTGAAGAGCTCAGGGACAGCACCCAGGCCCAGAGTTTAGACCCCACGACCGACCAAAAAAGCAAGGTAGGGGGATTGTGTCTTAGATGTGTGCTTGGATGAGAAGCCAGCCCATACCCTAAAAATAACCAGAGAAAAACTGCTGGAAGTGTGGTTCAGCAGAACCAAACTAGCCTAGTCAGCACAAGGCCCCGGGTTTAAACACACCTAGTCCCACACACTCAGAAAAAGGCAAGCTTTATAAGCACAAAACCTCATGTGCAATGGACATATTCGATTCTTACTGACCCGTGTGGGTCCTGAACTCTGGGCCTAGGCGCTTGCTGTCCCTTAACTCTTCAGCTCAAGGCTAGCTGTGGCCACTTCCGGCTTTTTCTGCTTATGTGGTGCTAAGGAATCGAACCCAGGGCCTCAAGCATGCAAGGCAAGCATTCTACCACTGAACCACCTTCCCAGCTTCCCCAAGTGTCTTCTTATCAGTAATTCTCCCCTGTCCCTCTCAAAGTAGAATCTATCCCTCATCTTATTTCTGTGGTGTAAGTATTCCATTTTCCCAATTTCAAGGATGGGCTCCTGACCAAAGCCTGGCTAATGAAACATTTCCTGAGCACCAAGACAGGATCCAGGTGGTATAAGATCTAAATCCCACAAAGGTTTATACAGCTGCCAGATTAATACATTTCTGAAAAGACTCCCCTGCTAGGAATGCTCAAAGTACATAGTGACTGCTAGTGTGGTAAAATAATTTTAAGCTGTTCTAGAGACAGGTCAGAAACTTCTGAGGAAATCTTGCTCTCTAAGCTGCTATTTAGCAACACTGACACAGAGGATTAATTAGCTGGCAAGTATTAACAGTAATTGAAACTCCTCTAGAGATAGAAGGGTGGCACCAGGGTGTCTGGTCTTACCATATTTCATTATTGGCTATCTCTAGCCAGGTAAGATTTACTAAGTGGATGAAGCTAATGAAAGAGGAAAATTATTTTGCTACTTCCAAGGTTGCATTTATCCTAAGGCTACTGACAAATTAGTAATGTTCTTGGTGCTGACTGACAAACAGAACGTAATGCATTGTGTTTGTTCCTTCTATAATACAGAAGCTTCCTTTAGGTTAAGACTTACTGCACTCTTCTAGGGTAGGAGGGTCTCACATTATTTTAGAGTTCTGAACTAGATGTGACCAGAAGGTGCAACAGCAGGAAGGCTCTTTAAAATATGAGTATATGAGGGCTGGGAAGGTGGCTCAGTGGTAGAGCGCTTGCCTTGCATGCCTGAGGCCCTGGGTTCAATTCCTCAGCACCACATAAGCAAAAAGCAAAAAAAAAAAAAAAAAAAAAGCTGGAAGTGGCTGGGCTGGGAAGGTGGCTCAGTGGTAGAGTGCTTGCCTTGCATGCATGAGGCCCTGGGTTCGATCCTCAGCACCACATAAGCAGAAAAAAGAGCCGGAAGTGGCGCTGTGGCTCAAGTGGTAGAGCGCTAGCCTGGAGCTGAAGAGCTGAGGGACAGTGCCCAGGCCCAGAGTTCAGGCCCATGACTGGACCCAAAAAAGCACATGAGCACATGACTCTAACTCTGGCCTGGGCAGATCTTAGAGAATACCTTAGTACATTGCCCTGTGGCCCAGTGAAAACATAAGCTCTGTAAGCACACTAGAATCAAAGAGGGAACTGTAAGGGAAAGGGAAGGCCTTGACCAAATATGGGCTGCAATTTGAGAAGAATAGTGTCAAAACTCAGCCTGTCATTTGGTACCTCCACAATCAGATCATCTAAATGCCCAATTTAAAAGAAATCAAGGCACAATTCAGGAAAACTAGTTGCTTGTTCATCCTGTTCTGTATTAGTGTTCCTAGAAGTACTTGCTTCCCTTACTCATGTCCTTCACATCATTTTAAGCTATTTTCTCCATAGGGGTTAGGAAAGCGCTGGTAAAAATTGCTGCTAAGTCAAAAGAGTAGAGATTAAAAACCATCTTGTCTTTTTCCGCAGTGATTTGGCTTGTAACAAGGAAAAATCTGATGAGTACAAATCTGGCCATCTCTCTTCATGTTTCTTTTTTAACAGCATTCACATCTGATTTTGTGTTAGTGATAAAAGTGCAAAAGCAAAAGCTTCACACGTTTTGCTGAAATAAGAGACACCAAGTATTTTGGCTCAGTGTTTCGAAAGGCTATCTTGTTTGTTTGTTTTTTTTTGTCTGTCATGGGGCCTGAACTCTGGGCCTGAGCGCTGTCCCTGAGATCTTCAGCTCAAGGCCAGCACTCTACCACTTGAGCCACAGCTCCACTTCCAGCTTTTTCTGCTTACGTGGTGCTGAGGAATGGAACCCAGGGCCCTCATGCATGCAAGGCAAGCTCTCTACCACTGAACTACCTTCCCAGCCCCTTGTTTTTCTTTTTTTGTTGGTCATGAGGCTTGAATTCTGGGCTTGGGCGCTGTCCTTCAGTTCTTCAGGTCAAGGCTAGTGCTCTACCACTTGGGCCACAGTGCCACTTCTAATTTTCCAGTGGTTAATTGGAGGTAAGAGTCTCACGGGGGGCTGGAAAGGTGGCTCAGTGGTAGAGCGCTTGCCTTGCAAGCATGAGGCCCTGGGTTCAATTCCTCAGCACCACATAAGCAAAAAGAAAAAAAGCCAGAAGTGGCGCTGTGGCTCAAGTGGTAGCGCTAGCCTTGAGCTGAAGAGCTGAGGGAAAACACCCAGGCTCAGAGTTCAGGCCCCACGACTGGACCCAAAAAAAAAAAAAAAGTCTCACAGGCTTTCTTGGCCTGGGCTGGCTTTGAACCATGATCCTCAGATCTCAACCTCCCGAGTAGCTAGGATTACAGGCTTGAGCCATCAGTGCCCTGGCCTTTGAAAAGGCTATCTTGATAAACACATACTGAGCACTCCATCCCCAATAGCTTTTCCCATATATACCCATAAACTAGGAAACAAAAGAACCATATATACCCATAAACTAGGAGATAAAAAACCGTACAAATAATATTTCTGTTAAACAAACTCTCAAAACATTATGCTTTTTTTGTAAGAAAGTCTCCTGAAGAGATAGTCACTAGATATAACATTCTTCCCTGATTCTTACCTGTTTATGAGGACCCCTGAGTATGTGTGCCTTAGCACCTTCACAAGCTGTCCTCATTGCTTCCAGTGATGGTGTGCCCAACAGATCTGTGATCAAATCCAACTACAAGGAAACATGAAACAGGTGGACTGTAAGCTCACAGAAACAACTTTCATTACTCTTAAGTCAGTCTTAAAAATGAGGACAAATTTGGAGGAAAACCTTAAAGCAAGCTTTAGATAACTTGACAAAAGCCCCCTTTCTGGCCTACACAATAAACAATCACAAAACAGAACACCTGTACTCCCTGAAGTTCAGAGGCTAAAGCAGAAGGATGGTGAGTTTGAGGCCAGAATGGGCTATATAGTGAGACCCGGTTTCAAAGCACTCAAATCATGGCTGGGTGTATAGCTTAAGTGGTACAGCACATGCCTAGCAAGCATGAGATCTTGGGTTGAATCCCTAATACAAAAACAAAGCACAAAAACCAAAGGAAAGCCAGGCGCCTGTGGTCTACTCCTGTAATTCTAGCTACTCAGGAGGCTGAGATCTGAGAATTGCAGTTTAAAGCCAGCCCGGGCAGAAAAAACCAGAAGTGGTGCTGTGGCTCAAGTGGTAGAGTGCTCGCCTTGAGCTGAAGAGCTGAGGGACAGCGCCCAGGCTCAGAGTTCAAGCCCCACAACCACCACCATCACCAACACAAAAACCAGAGGAAAAAATATTTATTAGGACTCCATCTAATAAAAATGTGGAAAACATTTTAGTAGGCATGGCCTTCCAAGGCTAGAACAGCTTTGGAGTCTGTATCTGTATGCCTTAGTGTCTTGCAGAGCTGATCTATGTTTCTGAGGATAGCTAATGTCTTTTCTTTTCAAACAGTTAATGAATAGATTTTAATGTTTCAAATGAAATGAAGCCCATCAAAAGCTAATATAAAAATCAGACATGCATTATTTAATACTCAAAATATTCATACTTGAAATGAGAACTATACTCCTGCTGTTTGGGCCAATACATACCCCACACTTTATATACTAGTCATGGTAGAAAGCTCTTACACTGTTAGAAAACTGTGATACTTAGAAAATGATGACACTATATAAGGCCACATTTAGCTAGATGGGTACAACAAAGGAGACCAATAAAATGGTCAAACAAATCTTTGTAGCAAACTACCTTACCAATTTTCTGTACTACAGCAATCATTATAACTATAACTTAATTAATAGTAACATTTCATTTGAATCCCTCCAGGATGGAAAATTCCTATCTGGAGAACACTATTTTCTGCACTTATCTAAACTGTGGGGTAGCCATCAGCATCACTGCCTTTCAGGATAATGGCAGTACTTCAGAAACTTGCTTCCTTAGGAACAGCTTTCTGAGAAAAGTGGCAGTGATACTTTTTGGACTAGCAACCACACTACAGGAAAAAGTAAATGACTGGCTTATGGCAACATTCAGAAAGTTGTAAGTGGGTCAGATTCATGGATGAAGAACATTTTTATGAAGTTTTCTGGTAGTTCAGTTGTTAGGGTACTTATTTCTAAAAGATACAGAGAAAATACAAGGGTACAAGTTAGATTCTTTCAGTATTTTACTTTTTTTTTTTTGTTTTCTCCCCTCACTTTCAAACCTGCCATCCTTCTGCCTCAGACTCCCAACTGCTGGGATTACAGGTATGCTGTAAAAAACTGAGGATAAAAAGTATTCTCTTTCAGTGGTTAGGCTGGACTGACAAGCTTAAGTAAGACCTACGTATTGCTTTAGAAAATGAGATACTTAGCCGGGCGCTGGTGGCTCACGCCTATAATCCTAGCTACTCAGGAGGCTGAGATCTGAGGATCACGGTTCAAAGCCAGCCCAGGCAGGAAAGACTGTGAGACTCCCATCTCCAATAAACCACCACAAAACCGGAAGTGGCGCTGTAGCTCAAGTGGAAGAGCGCTCGCCTTGAGCTGAAGAGCTGAGGGACAGCACCTAGGCCCAGAGTTCAAGCCCCACAACAGACAAAAAAATAAAATAAAATAAAATGAGATACTTGCTGGATGCTGGTGGCTCATGCCTATAATACTAGCTACTCACACAAAGCTGAAATATAAGGATCATGGTTCAAAGACTGAACAGGAAAGTTCATGATATTCCTATCTCTAATTAACCACCAAAAATCTGGAAGTGGGTTTTTAAAAATTAAGTAAGTAGTCTCTCACCTATCTCAGGAGCTACATTCCAGAGACCCCGCAACATGTGAAAATGCATGAAGTAGCAAGAAGTGTGCCACGAAATAGGGAGGGATGACTATCTGATGCTGCTACTTGGCCACTTCTATACACACAGCACTTTTGGTTTTTCAGCTATTTTTTAGGGGGGATCTTGAGTTTTTGCCCTAGTTAGTGTGGATTACAATTGTTCTTTTCTTTCTTCTTTTAAATTTTGTGCCATTGTTCTTTTCTTTTTTCATCTTTTTTTTTTTTTTGTGCTGGTCCAGGGGCTTGAACTCAGGATCTGAGTGCTATCCCAAAGCTTTTTTGCTGAAGGTTAGCACTCTACTACTTGAGATACAGCTCCTCTTTTGGCTTTTTTTGAGAAGCTTATTGGAGGCAAGAGTCTCTCAGATTTTTCCTGCCCAGAATGCTCTACCACTGTGAGCCACAGAGCCACTTCTGAGGGCCTTAAACTTTTTTTTGGGGGGGGGTCAGTTGTGGGACTTGAACTCTGGGCCTTGAACTCAGCTCTTAAGCTCAAGGATAGCGCTCTACCACTTGAGCCACAGAGCTACTTCCAGTTTTCTGAGTGGTTTATTGGAGATAAGAGTCGCATGGGCATGGACTTTCCTGCCTATGCTAGCTTTGAACAATGATCCTCAGATCTCAGCCTCCTGAGTAGCTAGGATTATAGGCATGAGCCAGTGCCCGTTGGCCTCAAACTTTTGATACTGTAATGTAGCACTATACTCATCCAAAAGGTTTAATTAACTTTCTTTCCTTCTGTTTTCTTTCCGTTCCTCCTTATTCCCTTCTCTTCCCCAATGTCTTTTATTTTGAAGTGTTTCTTTTTTTTTTGGGGGGGGGAGTCCGGTCATGGGGCCTGAACTCTGGGCCTGGGCACTGTCCCTCAGCTCTTCAGCTCAAGGCTAGCGCTCTACCACTTGAGCCACAGCGCCACTTC